ACATTTCTTTGCGATATCAACACCGTTTTTCTATCTTGGCTATTCTCATATTTGTAAGTAAGTATCTGCTAAAGAATTTAAGGGTTTATTCCGAATGAAATTCCCTCAAATCAAAGTGGAAATCTGATTTCAAAATTATCTCAAGCTTCTTATGATAATTTCAATTAGTGCCAAATTATTGGTTGCTTGTATAGTGGTGTGATCCTTTATTAATAATGGCTCTCCTAGGGGGTACTTGACAGAATTTGTAATAGGTTTTAGAAACTAAATTTATTGTGGCGGTGGTGGTCATATTTCGTTGTATCTTCTTTTATACTCGTCAGAAATTGGCAAATTATACGAGCTATCTTGTAGCAACTCAGCTGGCCTTTTTTGCCTTTTCTACGAAATATTCCTATCTTTATTTCTCCTCAACCATATTTCTATGTATTTGTTTATCTATATGCTCTTCAAACCCTGGTGAGTCTTTTTTGTTCAAAACAAAATATTTATCTAATTCCAACTCTATCGGAGACATGACAAAAATAATAGGTTTAGACCAAAACCAAGACCCTATTTTAATATTTATAGACACGACCTCTTAGCGAATTCTATATGACTTAAATGTCAGCGCCATTTTTGTTTCCTAAGCGAACGTGGTCTCTGCTCGATTGGCGGCACCCTGGACTTTCACGGAGGATGTTTGTATTTAACTGTTCTCGAGTACCACTTCAGCTAATCAAGAATTGGCTATTTAGAGCCCAGTAAGCTTCATGATCCAACGCAAGTGGTTTGTAGGGCTGTCAGAAAAGAAGCAAATTCAGACCTCTGCAGCATAACAAGGCCAATGCGGCGAATACAGGAGGGTCTGTGACTTCCGGTCGTCGCCTTTTTTCCTGCCGAAAATAGTTCCAATCACCTATAAACGAAGTCTAACTGCCGGCGCTTAATTTGGCTCTATAATTAATAAGTAGGGTAAATAAACGGATCCTTAGACCCCTTGAAAGGACGTTTTCATTCTTAGGCTGTCTCGATATTAGTACAGACGTATCCAGTGCTGGGGCCTGATTAAGTTTTAACTAAACGCCATTAGTAAACAGAAATAGATAGGTTGCGGAGAGCTGGTCATTTCGTCTTGCCCTCCTAAACGGATGGAATGGCTTTAAAATTTGCCGGCAAAGGCTTTATTCTATCACATTGGGAGTGTCAACCCAACATGAGGACTCTACCAGAATTGCGAAAGTTTCCTAGCATAACAAATCGGTTTGATTATGGCTGCACTATTCGGGCTCAATGGTATAAATGGCAGTCAAACTATTTATCCTGCAGGAATTGTCCGGAATTCAATTTAGTCCATCTGAGCATTGATAAAAAGTATGCACATTTTTGAGGGAATACGAATTATGTATAGCAAAAAAGCTCATTTTGCATGGAGTTAAGTATATTATAAAGGAAAGAGATATTTAGATATTGCAAAGCCTATTTAGTTTTTTCCTGTTTTAATAAATGTTAATTTGACATTGGTTCATTGGTCCGCCTCTGTTATATGCTATTTACGCTTGTCAGAGCAACATATGTCTATAATCCGAGTCATATTACCTGTCCATTTAGAGCGGAAAGAAATGTTAAAGTTTTTGAATCCAACACAGGCGCCCCCGAATAATCCATCCTTCCTCAGGGCCACAAGTCCTCCGTGCCATGTTCCATTCTAAATAAAAATAAAAGATCGGAGGCTGTAAATGATAAATGTAAGAAAATAGCTGCAGCCTATCCCAGTTCTTCAACTAAAATCTAACAACGGCTAAGCTGAAAGTGGTTTCGCCCTGCCAATATCTGTGACTTGACAGTTAAAAATCAAGCGCTCATAGGGAATACAGGACGGCGCGCCAGGGAATTTTTGCATAAATCAACAGTCGATTACAAGAAGATCTTTTTCCTGTTCATAGTGCGACCGATTAATGAATCTCTTCCATCACATTTCTGGAATGGAGCCAGGGGTCTAGTGGAACCAACGCATAGAGGGACTATTCAAAACCTAACTTGTCATCATATAAAGTGGAACTTCACATATGGTTGGGTCACTTTCTAGTGTAATCCTAATTTGAATAGCAAATATGACAACGAGCCGTTACAGTTCCAAAAGAACGTGAAGCTCAATTGAAAAATTTTTCTTAAATAGACCCATGAATATTGGCGGTGGCATTCGGGTTGGTGATTTATTTCCAAATCTATACCAGAGTCCTAGAGCTATGCTGTACTCGGAGCCGTTTGCCATCTTTTAATGTTTAATTTCCCACATAAACAAATAGGTTTCATGTCAACGGCCAGTTGCCTACTCGATTGTTGTTTTTGTCCAGCTTTCCTATCCCGCTTAAAAGAAATTAGGAGTAAACGTTTAATTAGGTGTCAAAATTTCGGCGAGATTTAAACATTATGCTCTAAAGCAATTGCACTTGTCGGAAGGCGGTTGGGATGCACTTCCGTCATACAATCTAGTTGGATCTTCACATGTGTATCTGCTTCAAATCTAATGCTTCTGAGATTGTATTAAAGAAACATACCTCCATTTTCTATGCTTGTGTTTTGCAACTTATAACTCCAAGGTACTATACCCAAATAGATTCGCAGTATGCGTTGCTGGTCAAACATTTGCAATGATAAGGCATCAGGTTACTAACTGAAACTTTACGTCCAACAGCAACAAAACCGTTTTTGAGCTTCCTATATTGAACCCACCTGTCTAACGGTTGCCAGACTCATCTGGCAAGCGAGGGTAGGAGGGATGCCAGATCTCATGAGTTCAACTGTCTTGAAGGAGAGAAGAAAGCGCATCATGACGTCACCATCCCCAGTTCCAACCGCCGCACCAACCTAATAATTTGGGAATATGTTAACAATAATTTCAAATTTATGAAAGGACCGAGCAAATAATAATAGCATACAAGAAGTGCTTACTAATACATACAAATGCTTTCGCTTCTTTAAATAAGACCGTAGAAATTCAGTCATGAATGTCAATTTATTGGACTTGCTCGAGATATTGCTTTTTAAAAACCGATATTAGCCACAAAACATTCCGATAATGCGTATTCCCACGTATGCTAAACAATATTTTTTGCATTTGCTCATGTGTATAAACTTATCTCTGCTTTTAAAATCGGGTGTGACTTGAGTCTTAGCATGCTTATTATTTTGGTCGCAATGAGGAAATGGAGTAAGCAAGACTGCCATTTAAAATATCCTAGGTTCTGGTCTATTCAGTCCAAACACTAGTATTCGTAGCACTGATATTCAGATGATAGTGAGATAATATATACGTTGTCAGTGAATTTAGCGGATGTCGCAAATCTTGGTTCTTGTTAAATTTAGCCAGATTTAGGTTAGGAACTACTTGACTCAAGTACAACTGCTTTACTAGTAAACAAACCCTCATACATGCTTTTAGACACTCACCAAAATCTTAAAGTATTTAGATCAGTGAGTATATATTGAGAATGGTATCTTGCCCAAAGAAAGAATAGCAAAGCGTACCAAAAATAAAAAAAATTAGTCGGAGATACAAAGAAAACTGCTTCAACTTTGGCGGGATACCTAGTGAATCCACTTATTGAACATTTTCTAATGAAACAAAATTAAATAGTATAGTAGTATTTTAAGGCGAGGTTAGAGATTAGTGAAGTATAAAGACTACAAGTATATGGCAAGGTATTTATAAGAACAGGAAGAAGGGTAGGTATCCATTTTTATAGAGTTAACAAAAAATTAACATTTTATAAAAGTATTAGTATGACAAGCAATGACGAAGCCCTACATGTCATAGTATATACGGGTTGGCAAAGGTATTTAATATCCTTGAACCCATGTAATTCCAGCCACCCAACTGGACAAGGAAATTATGTTATCGATAGGAAAGTGCCGCTTACTGTGCTGATAAGCTCTGGACGAGGAAGGAAATGTTGTCCACACTATTTAATTGCCAATTACAGCCTAAATTTTTGTCCGAAGCACAAATTAGGAATACTTACCACTTCTCGATAGACCACTTTGTAGATTCTAGTGAAAGCAGATTGAAGGTATGTAGAAAGCTGATTTTAAACTTTCTTTTCGTATTACATACCTCCAGAATTATCCACCATTAACTGTGCTATTTTTGAATAGGAATAGGTGCCCTTGTACTGTTGATCCCCAGCAGTACCCTTATCCCATCTAGCTAGTCTATTGTGATAATACAATAATAGGGGTTTGATTCATTATTAAAAATAATATGCTTGGTAATTAGGGTAAATAATGAGGCGGTGAAAGTAATATGGTGGGTGTCGAATTATAAAAAATCGAAACTTTTAGCTGTCCTATATTATCGACTTAGGAGAAGGAGCAATGCCTCTAAACTGTGAGACTTTCTAAAGTATTCCTAAAGAATTCTTGGCTAAATTTTCAACACCCTCTATTCCGGCTGATTGCCCTCATTGACTTTTAGTTCTACTAAGCATAACTTTACTTATTGACTAATGCGTCGAGCTCAGCTAATCAGGGCTCTATGAATGTGAGTTAGGCTTGTAGCTTTGCCCGAATATCGCATAAGATCTTTAAAACTCATTGATGAATCAATTTCTGTCATGTATTTCAACGAGAAAAATGGCCAAGAAATATGTGTGCTACTTCCGGCCAAGCCACCAAGCCTTCTACTTACATCCCCATCCACAAAGCCTCCAGCACCCACGATCGGAGTATCACCAACTCTTCCAGGCACATGAAAAGCAGCGCCATTCGTAGAAGTGCCAACAGCCATTCGGCCATTGTGGTCAATCGCAATCATGCCAATTGTATCATGGTGTTCCTCATCCACCGTTCCTGACGGTCGCTCGGTTGCTCCAGGATAACCGGATCCACTGCGGCCTTGGTTTCCGGAATCATAAATATGGAATTTTAAAAATTACCTAAATCTAATCTTAAAACAATGGCTAATTTGGTTTCTAGGCTGTAAGAAGTCAAAATAAAGTCAAGAAGCTTTTACTCAAATCACCAAAGCATTTTAAACTACTTTACTTCGTCATTAAGTATATGTATAAATGATCCAGCCTCCAACCACAGTATGCAATGTTGGGGAGACCTTTATTTCATATGAAAGTGCATTAAGAAAAGATTCGTAGGTTGATCTTACCAGAAGACAAAGGCTGAACCTCGTTTTACTGCAGCCGTTCGGCCTTAATACGACGTTCAGGTAGAAGCAGCCCACGAGACATCCTCCCTCGCTTCAGGCGAAAACTGGCTGAGCTTTCGTTCATTATATGATGGACATCGTCAAAGCTGGAACTTATTCTTGTAAATGTCTCACATTCCCACTTCTCTCTTCTTTGTGCACTCTCATACGAAATGAAGAGCCCTCTAACAATTTTGTCGCAGGAGATTCATCGAAATCCAGTTACTCTTACTTTCTGTAGTATACAAGTTGTATATGTAACAGCAGCCAGTTATTTTAAACATTTTAAATCGAGATATATGCAAATATAAATAGGCTTCCACCTAGACTATTTTAGAGATAGGATAGTTAAAATAGGCCTATTGTGAATAAAAAAGTAAAAGTAAATATTCAAAAATATTTTTTATATTTTAAAGAAAATTAAACTCAAATATTCCTTTATGTCAGAGAATTTTTGTTGCGTTAAACAAATGCTCTGATTCATGACTTTATTATAAGCAATGTTCTCATAACTTAGCCTAATAAGTCTTGGGTCAGCTTTTAATTACTAATAAAATATCTGCTGAACCGATTGTTTGGCCTCGTTTACATTGGTTATACACTGCTCCTGTTCATTCCGCACCCCATCTAAAATCGTTGGTTCTATAGCAACTTGCTCATTGAACTTGGAAAATGGATTACATGCATTATCGTTGGTCGGCTGCATATATTTGACTTCGCAATGTAGTTGGATTGGTGTATTTCGAGTGGCAAATTGCAATCGATCACCAGAGCCCATATACAATTAAGGATAAAATAAAATCTAATTTATTTCGCCTTGTAATAAAAGTAAGATCGAAATGACAGGTGTCGAACTGAAGCTTTCGCATGATGGCCACTGAGGCCAAAGAAGACTTTAAAATATGACAGCATAATTGCATTTCATAATATCTAATAATGGTAACTAAAAGGTCCATAAAAGCCGAAGTATTGCTGATAAATGGAAAATTTTCTAACAATGAGTAAGCACTATGGCATATACAACTAAGAGAGAATCCATGATTAACGCAAATCAAAGTGATAAAGTACGGATAGAATAAACAAGTGTATAGAATGCATTATGAAAGAAAGCGGCGAATGGAATAGGGCCTTTGCCTTGGCCTCAGTCAGATTCCTCCTAATATGGTTACAAAAACTTAATATTGACAAATCATTTAACTTATTTGAAAAGGTAAGTATAAAAACTTCGTAAACTGGCCTCCCCAATCAAAATTCAGCAGTTACAAGCCCAAGGCAATCCTTTTTCATTGTCCGATGGGACCATTTCCTGAATACCTTGCACTCAACTTTCAAGCGAAATAAAGGTACGCCAGCACTAATCTGTTAAGGGATTCTATGAAAACCAACTTTATTCAATATATATAAAAAATAATATATACCAATAAAAAGTGCGTTTTGGTTAATCTCCAGAGATAAAACTTTTATTAAGACTTTCATTTCGTGTGAAAGTGCATGACAAATAGATTTGTAGATCTATCCAGTCGAAGACGTCGATTTATTACCGTTGTGTTGTAGCAGTTTGACTTTAATACGAAGTTTTTGTTGGCGCAGTCCATGAGATATCCTTTATCTTTTGCATGAAAGCAAACTGAGTTTCATTGATCATGTGACGAACAGTATCAGAGCTGGGACTCATTTTTACAAAAGTCTGAAGTTACTACTATGTCAAGGAAACTAACAAGTTATATCTTACATGCTTAAGTCCAGCTTGCAGACTGGATGCTAGCAAATAATAAGAGATAATACATTAGGGAGTAGATGCAGGTATATTATCGATGTTTAGAAATGATATAGAGCAAGCATATATAAATGTACATCACATGAGAACAATGCTAATTAATCGGAGAATGTACCAAATCAACGGTCCAATAGTGTAAATCATTATTAATAATATGACAGAGTACTCAGGATTATGTACGTTCCACAGGGTCTCCCTGTCCTTCCAACCAAGTAAAGAAAACGAGATCAAAGCAACAGTTTAGAGCTAAAGAAGACTGCGTCTAAGCAAGAACTAGAATATCTTGGTCTTCATATCTATCAATATCTAATAAATAATCCGTAATTGATACATTTTTACGCATTTTCGGCTAGAAGGAAAACTATGCTCCTATTAAAGCCTTTTTAGGGTACATTTTTTATTGATATCATAAAATATACTATAAAGATAAGTGTCTTATTTATTGACTCCATATACTAGGTTAGTCTATCTAGCACCAAATGAATATTATTTGGGCATAAACTGTCAAGATTTACCCGGAACTTTGTCTTCGGTTGTTGTGTATGGACCACAATTCACGCCTGGATCAGGAGTCCAGAAACCACGGCGACGAAAATTTGGCTGACAATGCTTGACGTCATGCCAGCGATGCCACTCTGTCTCTGAATGATTCGTCTCGAGTTGTGTTGGTTGAAAACCTCGTGAGATAGCGAAATCTCGAGCGGCTGGCCCAACAAGGAGAGTGTGCCGAGTGGAAAGGAACACCTCGCGAGCTACTTGAGAGGCCTGTTTAATGTCTGGCAGTGCTGCCACTGCACCCGCCTTAGAAAAAAGAAAATAGCCAATATTGTCATTCTCTATTCGTATTATTTAGACTAGTTTGCAACCAATTTTTGTATAATTTTAGTAAGTGGTAAAGTAATTTAAGATTAATTCTGGTCTTGAGATTAATTTCTTGTCGTTATTCCTTACTTGTTGCCTCAGTATTTCTTAAAAAGCTAGCTATATCACACATATATATATAGTCTTGTTTAACTTTATGTCTTATTTTAAATCATGGCTTGGCAAATATTATCAACATACCATATTTTGCTTTTTTGGCCAGAAAAACAGAAAGTATGAATTTCAATTACTAGAAATATTACACGTTATTACCTTATGCTTGACTAGTTATAAGATATTCTGGTGATCTTAGAGGTCCTGGAAAAAGTAAGGAAGCCTCCAATACTACTACAACCACATCTCCATCTCTAATGACTTGTCCCTACTACTCGTCACTACATCACTTAGCTTCGCTACGTTAAGGCCACATCGATTGCCTAATACTTGTAATAAAGATCACGGATGCGCATGACGCGTGCACATTATGTGCTCGGGATGATTAAGCGAATCTCGCCATGTCATCCAGCCAGCCTTTGGACCTATCAGAGCGTGACCCATTGAACCAATTTGGAAGAACTTCAAAACAATTTACCATTAGGATCAGTGGATAATTAGATTTCAATTGTCAGTAACAGGTTGAGGGGAGATTTGTACTTGGGGTGGGATATACAGCTAGCCAATTCTACTCTGTTTCTAAACTTGCCTTCTTGTTAGCTCGAGCAAAAGTTAGGTGACTTATTGAGGAAGTGAACTATCAAGACAATGTACAAAGAGAAATGAACACTTCCTTGAATCGTGTCTCTTTGGGAGTGTCTCTTTGGGAGAGATCTACCGATCTATCCAGAAGAGGCTATGCGAACACGAGACCGCTTGTAAGGTTATATGGGTCCAAAAATCTGAGTTAGCTGAACACTTAACGAATGCAGGTTACTTGATAGACTGGCCAAAATTACAACGTTTTGCTGGTTACACGGTCATTACATCAAAGTGTAAGAGAGTATAGACAGTAATAAAGCAGTCTACATCCTGAATAACATAAATGAGTTTAGAAAAATGAGTAGGAACTCTTAGTGGCTATTGGATAGGCTTAAGCAGTGTGAGAGCAGGATGAGCCACTGAATAAGAGGAGGCTGGATTAGCCTTGAGTCTAGCTAGGACTATCATACTTCTCATGGCATGTAGCTTACATACACACAATAGACACTAGTACATGCCTAAACATGAATCATTATTATAGGATCGTACCCCAGTTTATCTAGAAAATAAACAGCAGTCACCGAATCCACTTCCATGTCGTGAAATAGCTTCTCTCATTTGCAAGCATGCAGAGGGGTGAATACATCTCGTGTATCTGATTTGCTGGTAATCTAAAATGGCCGCTTATAAATGAAAAATAAGTAATGTAGTCAATTGTTATATCAAATAAAACTTTGCTTCACCGACAATCCCACCAAAGAATGTGATATAGGAAAATGCCTGGCTTTCCTTGAAATTCACATTTGTCCTGTTACCCAAGGACATTCATTGAAGTGTGGCGTAGTGGTTAACGTATCGAGATTATACGCTGTATTGTCATGGTTCAAGTTCTGCTGGGAGGGTTGATAAGACATAGGCGAGGTCGAAACTACAATTTACCCTGGATGTAAATACCCCTTGGGAAGCAAATGCATGTGAAATTTAGAGGAACTGTAAGGTATACTCATATAATAGTGAGAACATTCATCTACAAGTCCTTTATCATCTTAAACTTAATAAAGTGAGTACATGTCCTGTGATGTAAGTTTGAGGTAGCTAATCAAATCATTGGATCCCTCATTAAGATCGCAAGGTTAGGTGTATAAAGAAGCCACTAGGGTTGCAGCCGGTCACTTTTTCTCTTGGTTTAGTATATTTTTGCTATATTTCGTATAGTATGGATTCTTGCTATGATGGTATCTGTTACAGTACAGACGAAAAATAATCATAGCTTCATCGGGGTCGCAGAGCGGTGAGCTGAGGACTTCTTTGCACGGTAATATAGTCTTCCCTACGCGGCAATCCTTCGGCCTCCGGTACGACCACACCACAAATTCTTAGCAACCAACCTTTTCTTCGAAATGAAAAAGCCATGTCACAATATATCAGCATTGTATTTTCGCAGCATCCAATCACGGCTTCTCTTCAGCAAAGTTGTACAACATTAGCAATTTGTTTCAATTGTGCTAGTCAAGCCCTTCCCTGGTGCTACACCTCCATCATTTTCACAAATAAATTGCCTCTACATTATAACCCCCTAGCTATGTATTCCTTGTGGTCACTACACAAATTTCTCCTCGCCATTTCTTCATCTTTTATATTTTCTATAAACCTCACAACTGGTCGTATGGTACCACTCGCATAAGGCATATGCACATTTCCCTTGTAACTTGGCCCATTCTTGAGAATCTAATGTTTCGTAAAGATGATATTAAAAATCGCTTCCTACTCTAATAACCTCTATTACATGATGGGGTAAATCGCAATACAGGTTTATCGAAGTCACTGGAGTGCGCCGAGGATTATCATGCTCGAATTGAAAATCGTGACCCCTTTCACCTTAGTTACAATATTAAATAATAGGTCTTTATAGTTAGACTAAGGAAAAGCGTATTCCTTGATTTGATTAGGCGCATAGTGATTATCGATTGTGTCAGTACTGATACGCTTTGTAGCGGCTATCAGGAATCCGAATTTTGTACATATACCTTATTTATGTGATGTATTAAGTAGGTGACTGACTGACGAAAAAAATCCATATTAGCCTGAAGTGTGCTTGATTATGCAGTTAAATTCATTGTTCTACGACTTACGAAGGGCCTTTTTTATTCTGTACGACATCTAGATCTCATCAACAACCTCAAGAATTACGAGCTCAAAGGCAAACGCGTTTCTCCTCAGAGATTGAGGTACAGGCGAGAACGGTGAAAAACTCAACTAATTACAACGCATTATTATGGATTCGCTAATTCCTCTAAGTTATCTCCCACGATACCATACATTTATAACAAGATTCATATATTACTCAAATCATGCTTTTAGAGCTTTATGACCGGAATACTCCTTGCAAAAATTACACTAGGTCTTAGTAATGCACTTTAATCCCCCAATCAAGTTGCCATAATATAATAAAACAAACCGTATAGAGCGAAAGAAGAGGGTGACTTAAATTAAAGGTCATGCCATCTTGGTTCTCATATCTATCTTCAATGCACGGTTTAAAGACTACAAGACAATTTACTAATTACATCCGATCAAAAAAGTCGACAGCAAGTAAATCTCTTAATTTGACCTTTTTAAACTGTTATTAACGTCACGAAATTCCTCTTGGAGTGTGTGGCTTTTGAGGAGTATCACTTTAAGCAGCCCAAAATCAAATCATTCAGCGAAAAATAAGCTGATAGAAGGGTAAATCTTATGGATAAAATATAGGATGAGGATAAGATATTAACTTCATTTTTGGTCCATATCGATTACGAAACCAGTGCGCTTTTTAAGAAAGGTTTGGATTTTGCACTTCAGAATTAAAGTTATCGGAGGTCATTTTGGTGACAATAAATATATCAGTCAGATTTATGAAATAGGTGTCTATGTACAAAAAAATTCCTGTCCAAGGAGCTATTCAAGCTCTGATAAAAATTCTGGAGGAATATCCAGAGATAACACAGGGAATAAGGCTGAGTGTAGCTTCCATTATTAGGCTTATTAACCTATCCTTCGTTGGTAACTTATACGAACAAACACAAGGATTGGCGATGGGATCTTGCCTGTCTCCCATCTTAGCGAACAATTATATGGCAAGATTGGAGGAATACTTCCTGCAAAAGGCAATACTAACTCTCAAATTGTTGGATAGATATATGGATGACTATTTTGTCATCTGGCCTCATGTTAAGGACAGTTTAGATAGTTTCCTACTTTCACTCAACCAGCGTGAAAGGAACATTAGGTTCACGATAAAAATGGAAGAGAATAATTCCTTAACTTTGCTGGAAGTTCTCAGCATTAGAGAAGAGGGTAAGTTAGGAAGAGATATTTATAGAAAGCCAACATAGGTAGGCTCTTTCTTTAATTTTCTTTCCAACCATAAAACAAAACTAAGGTTTAAATTTTGAAGTCAATGATTCCGAGAAGTATGAGGTCAGAGGATAGCAAACATTTGACTAAAGATAGCTGACAAATATATTCCTAAAAAATAATTATCCTTTGGGCCTTATTGAGAATAATATCTCTCTACTGAAGAATAAACTTTCAGACAGAGACCATTTAGTCCTAATTTTGCCACCATACGTTCTCTCAAAAAATATAGGCAAATTAGTAAAGAAATGGGGCATTAT